AATCTTAGTTAAATGTTGGAGCTTAGCCTGTTTTTTTAGTGTAGTCCTGTTTCTCTGACTGTGACTAACTGGATGTGCTCTCTTCATCTCTGCTTCTGTCGCCTTGAACCTGAGCAGATGGCCGCTCATACTGATTCTGATTCTGTCACCCCGGTTTTGCTGGAGGTGACTTCTTGTTAAAAGGGAGTTTTTCCTCTCCACTGTCGCTACAAGCATGCTTAGTGTGAGGGATTGCCTTAGAGTCAATGAGTCGATGCAATCAGTTGGTTTTCCTTAGATAGAAAACTTTGAATCTGTCACAATCTTGGTTCTGTTATGTTTTCTTTTGAATATTATTTTTTTTTTACGTTGCTCCATGTTTTCTAGTTTTAGTGGTTTACTTCTTATTTTGTTGTGTTTTTTGGTTATTTTTCAGTTTTGAGGTTTTTATTTGTTGCCCTCTGCTGCCCTCTTGTGTTCTCCTTTTTTCATAGCGCTTTTCCTGTCTGCTCTGTTCACACCTGCTCCCAATCTGCTTGTTAGTCCTCTCTTTGTTTCAGTCTCCCATCAATACTCTCCTTATGCAGTTCCTCTGTGCTTGTTCCTCATTTAACTTCCTCAAACTCCGTCTCACTGAGTCTTCCTCTTCATGATTGTTTCCCGCAGATGTCTCCATGGTTTCTGGTTGGTTTGACATTTTTTCATGTTTGATTTTGGATATTTGGTTTCCTGCCTCAGCTGTCTGTTTACCTTCATTAAATCAACCAGAAACTCACTTTCTGCCTCCCCGACTCTGCATTTGGGTCCTCAAACCACAACCTAATCCTGACAGAATCAATCTGACTGGATGATCTGGTGAACTGTAAAGTGTCTTGAGATCATATGTGTTGTAATAATGTAATAATTTCATATTGAAAGTAAATTTGAATTCTGATTATGACCGGACTTTTGCTTTAATTTGACCTTTGTCTCACTAAGCGGATAAATCCTGTTTGGTTAGAAAGATTCGTTTTTGGATAAACCTTTTTTTATTATTTGTTTAGTTTTTTTTAAAATTAATTTTTAATGTAAGAATGCCGATTATTTTTCCAATATTTCTATCAATAACTGGTTATGTAAATTTCACATTCTCTGCTGGTTTCACTGCTGAACTTGAAGGACCAGGTCCAAATAAATAAGGAAAATATCATTACTAAGCTTTACCATAACTACTAATAGGTGCAAATTACTCCAATATTTGTGGTTACATTACATAACTACTCTTTATTTTTTCAATGACAGCAAAGACTTCCATTGGAAGAAAAAAACTGGACTTTTGGTGACTGTGGTACGTACAACGGCTTGATATTCAAATATATTTCAAATCAAAAGCATAATTTTATATAACTGACCAATGGAAAATAGTTAAAGGGAAGGAAAGGATGCATGGTTTTCAATATTTCTGGCACAATTAGACCCTTTCACTCTGAAATCCTCACGTAAAATATTTCAACTTCTTATTGTCATGTAACAGTTGCTCATTGTTTTTAATTTAATCTCAATTTTAAAATCAGCTGTTTTAAAGGCCCAAGGTGTTTGTTGATGTGCAATAAAAACTTGTATATCTCTCAAAAGCGTTCACTGCAAAAAATTCAAATCTTAATAAGTCCTTTTTTCTTAAAATAACTGCATTTTTTATTGGATTGAGGGAGTAAGTGACACACTTTGCCAATGGAACAAGACAATTTACATTTAAAATAAGAAAAAACAACTGCATTGTCTTGTTTCAAGTGCATTTTTATCTTATTATCTTATTTTAAGAGTAAAAATACTCATACCATTGGCAAACTACCTCATTTACCTACTCAAATTAATCGTAAATACACTTAATTTAAGACATTTTTACTTATTTTTAGATTGTTTTTCCAGTGCATGTACTTGAAAAACTGAAATCTAGATAAGTCATTTTTTC